AGAGGAGAATGAAAACTCTTCCTACACGATTAACCAGTGCTCAGCTGCACACTGATAGAAGTCATAAGACTGCTATAAACTGCTGATGAGAAAAAGGTATTTAGCAGTTTATATTTAATAAAATAGTTGCACTTCCATGTACTGTGTGAGACCAGATGTAGGGAATGCAGGGTCCTGGGTTTAGTAACACTTTAATTTTAGCTATTTAAGAAAACAATGTTGTCAGTTAAGACCTTGTCTCCATATCTAATCTCTCCCTCCTGCTGATGATGTATATGGAGATCTGAGAGACATGGCCATTGTAGAAGGTATAGCAGTGTCTTTGATGCCCAGGTGGTAATTGAAAGCCTGTTTTCAAGATGACAACACCAAATGGTGAAAAAACTGAGCAGTTTTTGTGGTTTATGCAAACATGAGCAGTTGAAAGATGACACATTCAACTTAGAAGACTCACAAACCACACACATCATGGTAAATAGTACACTAGCAGTTCCCACGGTCAGAAGAATTTCTTCTATATTTACTAACATAATTGCATTTCCATATTCTGTGTACTGTGGAAGACTGAATTTGGTGAACGCAGGGTCCTGGGTTTAGTAACACTTTAAACTGTGTTGGATTCAATGTCTGCGTCTTATTCAAGGGTTAGCCTGCTCGTGGATGGTGCCAAGTCAGCAGGTGACCATACTGTCCACACAGACTGGGTCTAAGAAAGTATGTCAATGCATAAAGTTGCATTTGAACAGAACAGTTAAAGAGAGATTTATAAAGCCATTATATTATAATCTGTGCTGCATCTGTTGAAGTTTTTACCTGTGCCTTAGCAGCACATGGTCTTGTCTGCACTCAGAGCGCACTTGCTGCATTACAGACTGTGAGATATGCTTAGAAGGAGCTGGGAATCAGATTACGGTCTACAACGATTATAGTCATCATATTGAGACAACTGGAAAAGGTAGCTACAGTATCTCACAGAAGTGAGTCCACCCCTCACATTTTTGTAAATATTTTATTCTAACTTTTCATGTGACAACACTGAAGAAATTACACTTTGCTACAATGTGACGTAGTGAGTGTACAGCTTGTATAACAGTGTAAATTTGGGGTCCCCTCAAAATAACTCAACACACAGCCATTAATGTCTAAACCGCTGGCAACAAAAGTGAGTATACTCTTAAGTGAAAATGTCCAAAATTGGGCCCAAAGTGTCAATATTTTGTGTGGCCACCATTATTTTACAGCACTACCTTAACCCTCTTGGGCATGGAGTTCACCAGAGCTTCACAGGTTGCCACTGGAGTCCTCTTCCACTCCTCCATAATGACATCACGGAGCTGGTGGATGTTAGAGACCTTGCGCTTCTCCACCTTCCATTTGAGGATGACCCACAGATGCTTAATAGGGTTTACATCTGGAGACATGCCTGGCCAGTCCATCACCTTGACCCTCAGCTTCTTTAGCAAGGCAATGGTCATCTTGGAGGTGTGTTTGGGGTCGTTATGTTGGAATACTGCCCTGCGGCCCAGTCTCCAAAGGGAGGGGATCATGCTCTGCTTCAGTATGTCACAGTACATGATGGTGTTCATGGTTCCCTCAATGAACTGTAGCTCCCCAGTGCTGACAGCACTCATGCAGCCCCAGACCACGACACTCCCACCACCATGCTTGACTGTAGGCAAGACACACTCATCTTTAGAAGAGGCTTCCTTCTGGGATGACAGCCATGCAGACCAGTTTGATGCAGTGTGCAGAGTACGGTCTGAGCACTGACAGGTTGACCCCCCCCCCCCCCCCCCCCCCCCCCCCCCCCCCCCCCCCCCCCCTCAATGCAATGCTGGCAGCACTCATACATCTATTTCCTAAAGACAACCTCAGGATATGACGCGGAGCACGTGCACTCAACTTCTTTGGTCGACCATGGCGAGGCCTGTTCTGAGTGGAACCTGTCCTGTTAAACCACTGTATGGTCTTGGCCACCGTGCTGCAGCTCAGTTTCAGGGTCTTGGCAATCCTCTTATAGCCTAGGTCATCTTTATGTAGAGCAACAATTCTTTTTTTCAGATCCTCAGAGTTCTTTGCCATGAGGTGCCATGTTGAACTTCCAGTTACCAGTATGAGAGAGTGAGAGCGATAACACCAAATTTAACACACCTGCTCCCCATTCACACCTGAGACCTTGTAACACTAACGAGTCACATGACATCGGGGAGGGAAAAATGGCTAACTGGGCCCAATTTGGACATTTTCACTTAGGGGTGTACTCACTTTTGTTGCCAGCGGTTTGGATATTAATGGCTGTGTGTTGAGTTATTTTGAGGGGACAACAAATTTACACTGTTATACAAGCTGTACACTCACTACGTCACATTGTAGCAAAGTGTCATTTCTTCAGTGTTGTCACATGAAAAGATAGAATAAAATATTTACTAAAATGTGAGGGGTGTACTCACTTCTGTGAGATACTGTAGCTACCTTTTCCAGTTGTCTCAATATGATGACTATAATCATTGTAGACTGTAATCTGATTCCCAGCTCCTTCTAAGCATATCTCACAGTATGTAATGCAGCAAGTGCGCTCTGACTGCAGACAAGACCATGTGCTGCTGAGGCACAGGTAAAAACTTCAACAGATGCAGCACAGATTATAATATAATTGCTTTAGATATGTGTCCTTTTACTGTTCTGTTTCAAATGCCACTTTACATTGTAGCAAAGTGTAATTTCTTCAGTGTTGTCACAGGAAAAGATATAATAAAATATTTTTACAAAAATGTGAGGGGTGGACACACTTCTGTGAGATACTGTATAGGCATATCCATACAAGAAAATGAGGAAAATTAATTGCATCAAAGCAAAACTGGATGTAACCACAACCACACCGATACTTTAAGGCCTCATGCGCACTGGGCTAATGCCACTTTTGGCTTTTTTCAGCCTGTAAAAGCACCTCTTTGTAAGGCTGTGTGTCCTTGCACATATAGGCCTTTATAGGCACACTAGAAGAGAAGCATTTACACACTGAAAAAAAAAAAAGCCACAAAAGGAGTGTTCAGGAGATGAGCGCAAACAAAAACAAAAAAACGCTAGACTAGTCTAGCTTTTGAGTGTTAATGCATCTCAATTGCCAGAATAAAGTAATATGCTGACCAATGGAATTTCATTACTGCTCGAGTGCTTGAAGCGCCTAAATGCGTGTGCAGTACATGGCTTTTACCACATTATAAGTAGCATTTTTTCTCCTGCCAGGAGTTCTGGCGTTCAGAGGGGCTAAACAAATGCCCTGCATGCATTAAAGATATAAACATCAAAACTTTTTGTAAATTTTTGAATGTAATCGCAAACTCTTAGGAACTCCGATTTCACTGCTGTCTTTGTCCTCTGTTGGGGGTATCTCCCTTCATTTCTTGTTGCACCACCAGGAAAGAAAGTGAAGGGGAAATTCCAATATGGGGACATACACACAGCAATAAAAACTTGAGAGATTCTAACACACTTTCCCTACATCAACCAAATCAAAAGTTTTGTCTGCTGTTTACTTTGGTACTTTATGAAAAACTTTGTCATTTTTGTTCAATGGCTGAGCAATGTATATATGACGTGACTGAACCACACTACACCAAGCTGTAAAGTTTGTCTACTCACTGTAAATGAAAAATGAATGCTTAAAGGATAGGTGCATTTATCCTTTTTGCCCCTTCCTGTGTTCTAACCCAACCCACCCTCCCACTCCACAGATGCATACTTGCCTAAATATGACAGCTGTGGCTGCGCTCCTTCTTTACATACAGGGGCACTCGTTTTCATTGGCCTGGATGCACCTACCCATTACAGCACCTTAAATATCTATGGGTCTTGCCCCCAGAAATGACAGGAGATGGTTGCATAATAAGTCTATTGGATGTAAACAAACAGTGGAACCATGCCTGTTTAATCAAGGTAGGTATACATCTGTGGAGGGCAAAGGTTGTTAGGTGAAGTTTAGTCAGGGAAAAGAACAAAACAAATAAAAAGGTAAATGCACTTGGTTTTAAAATTCACTTACACTTTAAAGAATTCCCTATAAATTTCATGCGATCAGGTAACCCCTTTCTGTGCCCATATGCAATCACAAGTCGTTAATGAATTTCATTTTTTTATTTAAATTAATATTTCTGTAACCTCATGACCACCATGTGTTTTTCTTAAGGTATGCAATGGTATTTTTTGGTGTGAGAGGTCAATGTACACAGGTCCTATATGTTCAGATTTGTCACAATGGATGCAGAATTGCCATGTCCCTACTTCCGGAAGTGTTGACAAACGACTACGTTTAAAACATTTATTTAACCTGCCGCGTAAGACATTTTCATTTTCACTTCCTTTGTCTGCCTTTGTCTCAACTGGCGCAGATTCTAATGTCTGTCTTGCGTTTTACTCTCGTATGTACATTACACACTCAGTCTTTGTATATTCAACATGCAACATAAAAAAAATATAATAGTACATCACATTTATCTGCCGTTCCGACCCAAATACTGATATATATACAGGAGCACGCTGCCCTCTAATGTGGATGGAGGGGAAGCGTTGGCAGAGTTGAAAACAAAAGTTGGCAAAAAAAAAAAGAAAAGGTTTACAATGAATATCTGGGCTCTGCAGCTAGTTTTCACTAGCCTGATTTCCCATAAGTCCTTAGTTAACAAAAGGGCAGGTTCATTGTGGTTACTCGAACCACAGTGCGATACCTCCATGTCTGCAGTCCACATTTGGTAATGAAAGGCAGGGAGGTCCATAGTGACATGGCACAGAGATCTGTGACTCAGGGGTCACAACATAACATAAAACAGAAGACAACTGTGGATGGGGTAACCCATGTCTTTGGGAGAGGGGAAGGGAGTCAGTGACGACCAGTAAACAAAGAATATCCCCTTTTGCCCCCTTCAGTCGCCTCAAGCTCCCCATTTCAGGAGAGATTTCTTCTTCATAGTCCTTGTGGCAGTCTTGCCTGCCTCCCCCATATCTTAGGTCTTCTCATCTCTTTCTGTTTTCCTTCGAGTTATATTGCGGGGTTTGATTTTTAAGGACAGTTCCCACAGAGCCTCTTCGGCCAGGTGGTCGCTGAAGTCATTGAAGAAAGAGATGATTTCGTCATTACGCCGAATCTCATAGTGACTGTGGGAGAGATTGTTATAACTGTATTAAATGATTTACTTGAATTAGATCAACAACAAATTCTATAGAGCTTTAACCCTTTGGTGATCAAAAATCACTGAAGCCTAGATGCCCCGGCCAAATTTAACAGAATCAGTATATGCAATGGTTAACTTGACTATAACAATTTAGACATTTTATATTAACATAACAGGCTTTAATTTGTTTCTGGTTTTTTTTTTAAATAAACCTGCTCTGCACTTTATAGATTATATATACGCACACTTATAAACATTATGTAACATATGAGATATACACTCACCGGCCACTTTATTAGGTACAACTTGCTAGTACTGGGTTGGACCCCCTTTTGCCTTCAGAACTGCCTTAATTCTTTGTGGCATAGATTCAACAAGGTGTTGGAAACATTCCTCAGAGATTTTGGTCCATATTGACATGAGTTACTATTGCCTTTCTATCATCTCGCACCAGTTTGCCCACTCCTCAAACTCTGACATCAACAAGGCATTTTCGTTCATACAACTGCCGCTCACTGGACATTTTCTCTTTATCGGTCTATTCCCTGTAAACCCTAGAGATGGTTGTACCTGAAAGTCCCAGTAGATCAGCAGATTTTGAAATACTCAGAACACCACCAACTACGCCAAGTTCAAAGTCACCTAAATCCCCTTTCTTCCCCATTCTGATGCTCGGTTTAAACTTCAGCAAGTCATCCACACTACGTCTAGATGCTTAAATGCATTAAGTTGCTGCCATTTGATTGGCTGATTAGCAATTTGTGTTACCAAGCAATTGAACAGGTGTACCTAATAAAGTGGCTGGTGTGTGTGTGTATATATATATATATATATATATATATATTTATTGTATTACTATTATATAGCGATCTGTCACATTTTACACATTTTAATGTCCACTTTGATCCCCATTTGTCAAGGATAGAAGTGAAGAAGTAACCGAGCAATAAAGACACAAATTATCATTAAATACAGTGGGAAGACAATGCAAATAGCTTTGTACTTACACTTGCTGGAATCGCCTCATGCTGTCTAGGATATTAAACTGCTGCCATCTCTTGGAGAAGTTTACTTTGCCATCAATATGGTCTGGATTACCCAGGTGCACAAAGGTGAGGTCCTGCAGGATCAGACCCCTAGATGGAAGGAAATAGAGATCAGCATAGGTCTAGTGAATAGTGTTTTCAGCTGTTGGCAGAGAAGAAAACTTACAAGTAGGGTATACACGGGGGCTCCACCTCAGAAAGCGCTGCCCGGTATGCTCGGAAGGAAGATGAGCTGTCTATCAGTGTGCAGTATTCAGCCAAGCCCTGTGGAGATCAAGTACAATGTATTATCCCAAAATGTGCCAGCAGCAGTCCATAGTATCATTAATACATTCCCACCACTCACTTCTGATGTCTGCTTCTGCCACTCCAGACGGCGGATGGGAGCAGAGTCCAGTGCAGAGAGGATGGCAAGGTAAGAGTTGAAGTTGTTCAGTTTTCTCAGGTGCTGCAGAACAAAATTTTACAAAAAAGAGATCCTGAATGCATAGTCTACAACTAATGTGAACCCGTTTGCTGAAAGCTAGCAATATAACGACATCCCACAAGTTCAGTAAAATGCATTTCAGGTGTAAGTATTGGTAAGGTAATCAAATACTATCAAGCACAAGACAGAGGAAAATGCAAAGCTCCACAGTACAAACCAGGATAGAAGTTCAACATGCAACCCACACATGTCCTGGCTATAGGCTCCACTTTTGAAAGCTGCTACTGAAGTAGCAGAGACTTTAAAATGCCACTGTCCTTGGATCAAAGGTGTCCAAAAACTCTGCAGCTCACAAATAAGATCCTACGGGGCTAGGCACGGCTAGGAGCCACATAGACAATCTGCCCACCAAATTAAAGCTTAAAGGATATCTAGTGTTTGCATATATACTACTGTTCAATGCTTTAAAATAGTGAAAATTCCCACTTGTAGCTAGGTGTGCAATCATACTGAAACAGACCTGAACTGCTGCCCCAAGCATAAAAATCATCTGATTAGTCATCTGACACACACTGCCAGAAAGAAACAGGCAGTGCTGGGATTTTTAGAAAACGTGACATTCTTTGCAATGTACATAACATAGAATAGCCCTGTCGTGTTGATTTGCAAAATAATTTTTTTTTTCTTTTATACATTTATATATTTATGAGAACTTTGCAATTTGCAAAGATGCATCCCTCCCCCCCTCCACCCCAATCCATAGCCCCCCCTTATGGTCATATTTAGTTCTGATAAGTCAGCGATTTCTAGTGGGCTCCAGCTGCACCCAAGGTTGGGGTGTCTGCTTATCATATTAATCTAAAGTACAACTTTACCTTTAGTTTATATAACTTGAGAGTGATTCAGATTAAAGTCCAACCGTTGCCAGATTTAGATAGAGCAAAGAAGGGTTAGATACACTGCCAGCTTTTTAAATGCTGTCTAAATTCCTATTGAAGAGATTTTCTTGCCAGAGTTTAAAAGCGGTTTGTATCTCTATAGAAGATTTATCTTCGTCTCTTGTGTCTGTCACCTGGACCGGAATTGGGGTGAAATCTCACTCATGGGACACAGACAGCAATGAAATCCTTACAAAGGATCTAAATTTTCCTAACTCTACTAGAAAATTTGTTTTCAACCCTCCTTATGTCCCCTGTTGGGAGTATTTCTCCTCACCCATTAAATAGACAGCAAGTGAGGAGAAATCTCTCACACAGGGACAGAGACTGCAAAAATTGACAGGGGCTCCAACTCTATCCAAAACAAAACAAAGTTTTGGCAGGAGTTTAATTTCATTTAGTTCCTGGACATGGCTCCTCAACTCTAAATTAATTTGCCCACCCATGGACCAGTTGGTAATAAAGCAAGGGCAGCTGAGCTAATGATGTATTGCTCACCTTCATAATTTTGATGAATTTCAGCAGCAGCCTCTCTCTGTCTTGTGCCTTTTCTTGCAGCATGATGATGGATCGCACCCTGTAATAGATGAGGCAGAGTTTAGCCTTAACAGGTACTTCACTGCTTTTCACTGACAAAGGGTTTCTTTTTTTCTCTTCTGTGAGTCTCTTACCAAATCTTAACATTTTTGTATCTTACCAGTAGGACATGTTGTTAAAGTGCTCCGTGAACTGTGTCAGGTTTGGGCTTTTCTCCTCGTTTTGCTCTTTTGCCCACAACAAAACCTCAGGGATCTAAATGGGAAGCCAGAGAGCAGATTATTGCCAAGTTCTGATATCTCAATGCAGGTAGTCATTTTGTGCTCTGCTGCCATATCCATGAGTTCGAATCAGTGTAAAATGTATAGCGAGGTTGGATGAAAAATTAAGCACTCAAACTATGCTAACAGTTTAAACTCATAGAATCCACAGCTCAGTACACAAAAGTCTCCTTCAGTGACAAACTTTGATTACCTGTACATGGTGGTGAAACGAGACACACAGCTAAGTGTGTCTAATGTTTTTCCAGGCTATCATCTATTGCAGCTGGCTACCCCTGCCAGCAAAATTCTGATGGTTGCTGGAATCTGGATCTCCTCAAACAAGGTTTTAAAACTTTAACTCTGTCGCTGCCAGGTCCATACGCCACAGAGACTTGACAGCAGGGGGTTTTATACACAATCCAGTGGCTGCAGCCACCAGGATTGTGTATAAAACTGACAGGCAGACTCCGCTGCTGCTGAATGCTTCCACAGCCACCAGTTCCGGTGCCGCCATCCGCGGGCGTGCTCCTGCCATGTAACCAGGCTATGCTTGCCCATCAGCGGACCTGGGGAGAGCCATGGCAGGTGCCGGAGGGGCGGGTGGGCTTCCAGGCAACACTTTTTTGTGTTACCTGGAAGGCGACGTCTATGACGTCACTTCCGGGTCACGGCTGTCGCTTTCCCAGCTAGAATAGCTGTTTGCATTGCAATATATCTAATGGAGCCCAGAACAGACATGCAGGGTCTTTTAGAACCCTGCATGTCTCAATAAAAGAACCTGTCACCAAAAAACATTACAAAGGGGGCTTTGTGTCCCCTATGTGATTAAAAAAAAAAAAAAAAAAAAAAAGTTACACAAGCACATAACATTCCCCCCCAAAAATGTTTTAGCCCCCTCCATATATGCACGTATGAATGTAAACACACACGTCAAGGCACCTACATGTGAAAATGTTGATTGCGATGCACGTTACATATGAGAGCTATAATTATAGCACCAGACCACCTCCGTAAAGCTAAACTGATGACCTGTAAGGGGCTTCTGAAGAGTCATCTATAGAAAATATAGGGTAATGAAGTTTGACGCAATTTCATAGGTGCACACAAATGTTGGCTATCTATTTACTCAGCACAACCTTGTCTTTTATATTTTACCATTTTAGCAAAATTAATTTTAGTGTGATTTTTACTGAAATATTGCGTTTCCTAGACCTTTGCAATAATATATAATGCAAAAATGGCGCCTGCAGCCTAAGGGTTAATAATGTACATACCACTTTATGAAAGCAAACATTGACAGCCGCTTTCATTACGTAACTCTTTCTATTAGTTGCCTGGCTGTCTCTGGGTTTAAGATTGAGATACTAGCCCAGAACAAGTAAGCAACAAGTGAAGTTAGAAATCCTAATCTGCATACTAGTATGAAGTCTTTGGAATACCACGACAAGTAGAATGTTCAGGAAGAGCTATCAGCATTAACAACTTACATACAGCCTCCAATACTCCTAGCACAGGTTTCATTTATTGATCAGTGAGCATTTTTGAGATGTGATAAATTTGTTTGATGTTATGTGTGACATATGTGATAAAAGTTATTAGTGTTCACAGTTCTCGCCTTCAAAACTTCTATGGCGAAACCAAGCATGCTGATAAAACAGTGTTCTCCTAGGGAACCCACCTCAATCTTGTAGAAAAGCTCTGCATCAAGAAGGGTCAGCTGCTCTGCAATTTCATGACTGTGGAAATCATGGAGGGTCCCTGGTCTGTAAAAGCATATATTAAAGAATTAGTCTCCTGGTTATAACACCACAAACCAAACTATACAATGAGGATAAGGTTTCCTGTAGGAAATGAATGGCATAGGAATTCTGAGATAGACAAACAACAACTGTATGGGTATCACACATGGAAACTAACCACCATATTGTTATACATGGGCAAACTGCTGTACAAAGCGAAAGACATGCATACCTTGCAGCAACACCCCTGGCAGCGAGTGGTCTCATGGCGGAGTTGCAGTGGCTCTGCATCCTCTTGTTATCCACTTTTTCCAGGATGTTCTTCCGCAGTACTCGGGCTAGACTCAGCTCCCCTTTACACACCAGTTTGAACACCAGTTCCATAAGCAGCTTCAAGATTTCATCTGTCAGCTCCACCAAACTGAAAAACAGGGTAAAAAAAAAAAATACAAGTAAAAATCTCAGGTTACAGAACATGTTGGAACTGGCCAGTTGTGCTTTTAGTGCAAAAATACACCCATCATTCAGCAAGAAGGAGGTTGGTGATGCTGAACACCTGTTGAAAAATTCTAGTTACCTGGCTGTATTGCTGACTGACTTTAAAAACTTTGAATCAATAGCTTGAAGTAGCATGCAAATCAGGAAATTTTTATGTCGTTAAGTGTTTTTCATCTGGGTTAGTGACAGAGTGCTAAAAACAGCTTAACAGCCAGGCAACTAGCAGGTTCAGAACTATTTAGCATTGGCAGCCTGTGTTTCCCATGGAAAAGGTTCTCAATAATGATTGCCGATTTGGAACAATTATACAGGTTGGCGTGTCAATTTCACTGGCCGAATACTGGTTCTTTGCTCAGTGATGTCATGGTGAGGAGCAGGGCTTAGCCCCAATTTGGACAGAAGTGGAGATCCTATGCACAGCATGTTCCTAGGATCCAGTGATTAAAAGATTAGTGCAGGTATTTTTGCAGGAAAAAATGCCTACAATGTAGTGCTGTGGACACTTTACAGGACCTGACAGGTTTACTATCATGACCAAAGCCTTCAAATATATAATTTAACTGTTTAAGGTCTGCCCTATAGCAGTAATACTTGGTTTCTGCCTCAAGGGCTGCTTCTGTCGCTACCATACACTAGTGGACTACTAGTATAGGGTACAGCACGGCATAGTCTAGGGTACACATTTACACAGGGTCTCAAAAGATGTTCGGTAGTCAGGAAACTGGCTATCACATCTTGAGAGACCCTAACATCTGGAAGTTTAAAAAAGTAAAAAAAAAAAAAAAAAAAAAAAGTAAAAACCCAAAATAGTTTTTGTTTTATTACGGTCGAGTTATTGTTTTACTGTTAACCATTGTTGATTTCTTTGCATGAATGCCATTCAGCTGCAGCACCGATCTGTTTATTCTGACAGCAACAGGGTCTTGCTCTCAGAATATACGTAAGCGTATGCAGCGCTGTTGGATGAGATTTTTCATCTGCAGTTAAAAGAAGAGCATATATGCCCAAGCATGTGGTGGCTAGTGGGAGGATTGCCCTATGCTTCGGCATATATTTTAAAACATTTTTTGGCAGATTTCTTCATCCATATCGATCAAAGTGAATAGAAGAATCTGTTAGGTTTCATGTGTGCTCTCCATTAGAAGTGGGTGGATTCAGGACGGTATATGCGAATAGTGGGTACACCACACACTTTTTCTGGCACAGATTTCTTCTCTTTTTTTTTCATTCAGCCCACAGGCTGCATAAAAAACAAATGAAAAAAAAAAAAAAAAAAGAACATAGCATGTATACCCAACAAGGACCAGCGATGTACTGGTACATCACTGGACTTTGAGTGGTTATACCAGGATGATGCCTGCAGCTGGTATCGTTTTTTTCAGCCGGCAATCAGCTTTCATGTAAAAGCAAACCTAGAGGGTAATTAGCTGCAGGATTGCCTTTACAAGCAGCGGGAGAAGATGCAGTTTTGCAGCATATAAACAGCGCCATTTTTAAATTGGGAAAGTATCTGATCACACTGATCTAGTGAGATCAGATGATGTAAGGGCAGAGGAGATATCTAGAGTCTAAAAAACCCCAGATTTCTAAAAAAGAAAATACCTGTCAATGCCTATTACAGTCACAGGGGATATTTACATTCCTTGGGATAGCAATTAAAGTGATTAAAAAAAAAAAAAGGGATAGTGTAAAAATAATAAAAAAAAATCAAGACAAAACAAAAAAAAAAAAAAAAAAAAGCACCCTTGCCTCCCCACACGTGCGCAACTGCGTGCACAAGCGTTGACCCCGTGCTGGTATGTAAACAGCGGTGAAGAATCTCCACAAACGTCAGATTGAGGGCAGTAATTCTAGCACTAGACCTCTTGTGTAAATCTAACATGGTAGCCTGTGAAGTCTTTGAACCTATGGTTATTAAACATTTATGCAGTTTGTAGCCATTGCATGTGGCGTGGGCAGTTTCACAGCATGTCATGTTTGGTATCTATTTACTCGACATACCATCATCTTTTATATTTTACCAAACAATTGGCCAATATATTGTTTTTTTGCATAAAAGGTTTTTTCTTTTTTTTTAAAATTTGTGTTTGAAAAATAGCCGCACGAGTACCGTGACATAAAAACTTGCAGCACCCATCATTTTATTCATTAGGGCGTCTGCTTTAAAAATATATATATATAATGTTGGTGTTTCAAAGTAATTTCCTAGCAAAAAATACTGATTTTTTTCATGTGAACAAAAAGTGTCAGAAAAGGCTTGATCTTCAGGTGGTTAGAAGAGTGAGTGATGCATGGTATAAACTTCTAATGCTGGGCATAAAATGCTCCCACCCCCCCCAAAACGACCCCTTTTTGCAAAGTAGACACCCCAAACTATTTGCTGAGAGGCATATTGAGTCAATAGAAGAATTTTATTTTTTTTTTTGTTACCACAAGTTTCTGGAAAAAAAAAAAAAAAAAAAAAAAAAAAAATTTTTTTACACAAAATTGTCACTTAAATGATTATGTTTGGGGTTCAAAGTAATTTCCTAGCAAAAAATACTGATTTTTTTTTCATGTGAACAAAAAGTGTCAGAAAAGGCTTGGTATTCAGGTGGTTAAAAGAGTGAGCAACGTGTGGCATAAACTTCTAATGCGCCCCCCCCCCAAAAAAAATGTACCCATTTTTGGAAAGTAGACACCCCAAACTACACTGGTCAAAAAAATTAAAGGAACACTTTGAAAAGACATCAAATCTCAGTGGTACACTGATATGGACTGGGTAAAGTGTTAGGAACAAAAGGATGCCCCATCTTTTGATGAAAATTAAAATTATCAACCTACAGAGGATGGAATTCAAAGACACCCCAAAAATCAAAGTGAAAAAATTATGCAGCAGGCTAAAATTTCATTGCAGCAACTCAGAATGGTACTGAGTAGTTTGTATGGCCCCCCCACATGCTTGTATGCATGCCTGACAATGTCGGGGCATGCTCCTAATGAGACGACGGATGGTGTCCTGGGGTATTTCCTCCCCCAGATCCGGACCAGGGCATCACTGAGCTCCTGGACAGTCTGAGGTGAAACCTGGCGGCGTCGGATGAACCGAAACATGATATCCCAGAGATGTTCTATTGGATTTAGGTCAGGCGAGTGTGAGGGCCATTCAATGGTATCAATTCCTTCATCCTCCAGGAACTGCCTGCATACTCTCACCACATGAGGCCGGGCATTGTCGTGCACCAGGAGGATCCCAGGACCCACTGCACCAGCGTAGGGTCTAACAATGGGTCCAAGGATTACCTAATGGCAGTCAGGGTGCCATTGTCTAGCTTGTAGAAGTCTGTGCGTCCATCCATGGATATGCCTCCCCAGACCATCACTGACCCAGCACCAAAACGGTCATGTTGAACAATATTACAGGCAACATAACATTCTCCACGGCTTCTCCAGACCCTTTCACGCCTGTCACGTGCTCAGGGTGAACCTGCTCTCATCTGTGAAAAGCACAGGGCTGCAGTGGTGGACCTGCCAATTCTGGTGTTCAATGGCAAATGCCAATCAATCTCTATGGTGCCGGGCAGTGAGCACAGGGCCCACTAGAGGATGTGGGGCCCTCAGGTCACCCTTATGAAGTCTGTTTCTGATTGTGTAGTCAGAGACATTCACACCAGTGGCCTGCTGGAGGTCATTTTGTAGGGCTCCTGCAGTGATTATCCTGCTCCTTCTTGCACAAAGGAGCAGATGCCGGTCCTGCTGATGGGTTAAGGACCTTCTACGGCCCTGTCCAGCTCTCCTAGAGTAACTGCCTGTCTCCTAGAATCTCCTTCATACTCTTGAGACTATGCTGGGAGACACAGCAAAACTTCTGGCAATGGCACGGATTGATGTGCCATCTTGGAGGAGTTGGACTGCCTGTGCAACCTCTGTAGGGTCCAGGTATGGCCTCATGCTACCAGTAGTGACACTGACCCTAACCAAAAGAAAAACTAGTGAAATACAGTCAGAAAAGATGAGTAGGGAAAAAATGTCAGTGGCTTCTGCCTGTAAAACCATTCCTGTTTTGGGGGTCAACTCATTGTTGCCCATCTAGTGCACCTGTTACTTTCATTAACACCAAAGCAGCTGAAACTGATTAACAACCCCCTCTGCTACTTAACTGACCGGATCAATATCCCCAGAGTATAATTGACTTGATGCTATACTCTGATTAAAAAGTCTTCCTTTAATTGTTTTGAGCAGTGTATATGATGAGAGGTATGTTGAGTCAATAGAAGAATTTATTTTTTTACCACAAGTTTTTGGAAAATTACATTTTTTTTTCTTTTTGTTTTACACAAAGTTGTCACTTAAAGTGTTACTAAACCCAAGACCCTGCATTCATTATATTATCTGGTCTCCCACAGTACACACAACATGGAAGTTCAATTATTTTAGGAAATATAAACGCTAATTACCTTTTCTCATCAGCAGTTAGAGCAGTCTTGTGACTGGATAAAGCTTGTAGTAGTTTTCTCTAGCAGGATGGAAATCCCCTGACCTCTGTCTGGACAGTGCTGATTGGCCCTGTACTGATCACATGCACTCTCCCAAGAAAAAAAACCTCTCTAGCAATACACACTAAACTGAGCAGAAGAGAACTGTTCAGTGTGGGCATTTGAACAAGTGGAGGGGCAGAGAAGAAAAGATCAAACAGCCTTTTTACACAATGCAGAGGATTAACCCAGTTAGGTTACACTTTAAATGATATATTGCTCACACATGCTGTGGGTATATGTGGAATTACTCCCCAAAATACATTCTGCTACTTCTCCCGAATATGGGGGTACCACATGTGAGATATTTGTTGGCCGTCTGGCCAAGTACAGGACCCCAAAATCCAATAAGCACTTTCTGGCTTTTAAAGGGTTTTATTTCCTCATTACACTTCCTGTCTACCTATCACAGTTTCGGAGGCCCTGAAATTCAGAATAGTACGACCCCCCCCACCCCCCCTTTTTGGAAAGTAGACACCCCAAAGAATTTGATAAGAAGCATGGTAAGTATTTTGCAGATCTCATTTGTTGCCACAAGTTTTTGGAATATGAAGAAAGAAAACAAAAACATATTTTATCTTTATTTGTTCAAAACCTTGTGAGAAAAAATTAGATCTGCAAAATACTCACCATGCCTCTTATTAAATTCCTTGGGGTGTCTACTTTACAAAAAGGGGTCATTTTGGGGGGTGTTGGTGCTATCCTGGCATTTCAGGGCCTCCGAAACTGTGATAGTGAGGAAGTTACGCACCTTCAGGTTTTGAAAGTAGTCATTGGATTTTGGGACTCCAAAGTCTCTCACGTGGTATCCCCATACGCGATAGAAATAGCAAATGCATTTTTGGGTGTAATTTCACATATACCCATGGCTTGTGTGAGCAATATATCATTTAAGTGACAACTTTGTGTAAAAAAAAAAATACAAAACATTTTTTAATGTCATTTTTCAAAAACTTGTGGAAAAAAAATTAAATCTTCCATGGACTCAATATGCCTCTCAGCACATAGCTTAGGGTGTCTACTTTCCGAAAAGGGGGTAATTTGGGGGTGTTTGTACTGCCCTGGTATTTTAGCACCTCAAGAAATATTAGAGGCAGTCAGAAAGTAAAAGCTGTGTAAATTCCATTATCTATACCATAGTTTGTAGACGCTATAACTTTCACGCAAAGCAATTAATATGCAGTTATTGGGACATGTAGCAAAATGCATTTTGGCCTAAATTTATGAGCAGTTTTGAGTTTGAGTTTTTATAACAGAAATTAAAAAATAAAATTTTTTTTTTCTTAAACATTTTCGTTAAAGCGTAAAATTAACAAAACCCAGAGGTGATCATATGCCAACAAAAGAATGCTCTTTATGTACAGTACTGCATGACCGCACAATTGTCAGTTAAACTAGTACAGCGCTGTATAGCAAAAAATTGGTGTAAATTGCAGTATCTATACCATAGTTTTTAGACTCTATAACTTTCACACAAAGCAATTAATATACACTTATTGGGATTTTTTTTACCAAAAACATGTAGCAGAATACATTTTGGCCTAAAATTTATGACTATCTTTGAGTGTACTATATATTCTTTACAACTGAAAGTAAAAAAAATATAGTTTTTCAACATTTTCGGTCTTTTTTTATTTATACCGCAAAAAATAAAAAACCCAGAGGTGATCAAATACCGCCAAAAGACAGCTCTGTTTGTGTGAAAAAAAGGACATAAATTTAGTTTTGGTACAACATTGCATGACCGCGCAATTGCCAGTTGAAATGGCGCAGCACAGTAACACAGAAAATGGCCTGGTCAGGAAGGGGGGGGGGGGGGGGGGGGAGTAAATCCTCTGGAGGGCAAGTGATTAATGGACACCAATTACTCTGTGTACACAGCAATGTGAAGATTGGTCCTTTAATATCTTATTTACTAACTGTCAAAGGGACCATTTCTGTGCAGGTCATTACTGTATAACAATTAATCATTCAGTGCAAAGCCAGACATAGAGGGACCGGCCGAGATCTGATTCATCTATTGGCAGACTGACTGTACCCAAGTTGACTGATGGATCAATTTGGGTACAAGCATCACTTCGGATGTTTAGCATGCAATTAATGCCAGCGGCTGCAGCCACTAGCGATAATCATTCTGTTTTCCCAGCAGGGATGGCTTCCCACTGGAAGAACATAATAGCTCTGCGGGGGGGGGGGGGGGGGGGGGGGGGGGGGGGGAATCAAGCGATTTTCTTTCCTGCAACCAAAGCAATTGCATTATCTACGACTTGTCTTAACTTCACTGTACTTACCACAGCTCATCCACCACTCTCACCAGCACGAAGAAGGTGTTCTTGCTCACACGCTGCTTGAAAGTGTCCTGAAAGTGGCAGAATCTCTCATACGTTGAAAATAGTTAAAGAAAACAGTCACCGGTTCAGTTTTGCATAAAAAAATATGAAGTAAATCTATTCAATATATAAATGGCACCTTTTCAGTGGGTAGAGCTGATTGATGAAGAGGAAGCTTTCCTTTGAAAAGGTAAGAGTCCACATGGGCAGATACAGCCTTCTCAACAGTAGGGGGCAGTGCTAGTCTATAACTTGGGTTACTGATCACTGCACACACTGCACAGGAAAGAGAAAATCAAAATATAGGAATTGCTGCCAATATTTAAATCCATCACCAGAACTACGCCAATTTTATAACATGCTGGCTACTTAAATAGGAGCCCATAGAAATAGCTTCACTGCCTAGTCAGTTACTGACCTGCTGCTGTATGTTTGTTCCAGGTTAGTGACTCCCAAGGTAGAGACGCAATAAACAGTAAGGTAGTTTTGGCGCATGCACCATAACAACAAATCAGCAATGGGAGCTCTCGTGCTTCTGAATTCAGAGGTTCACTGGAAAACCAGTATTAAAAAAATTGCAGAGGCTGCCATTACTGAATGTCTCCTAAAAATAAAACTTGTATGGCTATCTCTGGCTTTTGTGAGATGCTAACTTGGAATAAGCATGCAAACTAATCTACATGCAGGTTTCAAGTCAACTTAGCAAGTACCAAAGCCACTGGTTCATGATAACCAGGGAACTAGTATTTTCAGAATAGCAAAGGCAGGCTCAATAATCTTAGTACAGGTTTCCTTGAAATCTCCTGGAAACTATCAAGGCTTCTGGTGTGGGAGAGATAGTAGGAAGGGGAATGAGACACACAAGCTGAACAAGGGTTACCTTACTCAGCCAATAAACTCTACAATGATAATATCACAGCTGGTTGATAATTCTTCACCATATAGAAAGGATATCTGTACTGTAGTTTCTGAATCAATTCTTCCGGTGTAATAAATGTCCGGTACGTGGTCAGGAAAGCCTCGCAATAAAGAACCAGATCTGAAAGAAAGAATTCAGATTCAAAATACATTTTATTGTGTCTCAAAAATCAAACAAAAAACATAGAACAGCTATGTGCTTGTGGAATAAAAAACAGATTTTGTGCAGGAAAGCTGGATAAAGCATTTCATCCAAAGTCCGCCCGCATCTCAGAACTGTGAAGTCATACAGACATGCTGCAGCAAGAAGAGCCCCGGGCGATCCTTATCCGAGAGGAAACTCCTTGGAATGTAACTGGGATCTGTGCACAGCTTTCCATCAGCTGAGACCTTGAATCGAGCGCTGAACAACACCCATACAATGAGCTCTTTTGAAAAATCGGCACATTGAATATAACAGCGATGTGCATCGACAACGGTGCACACATCTACAAGTATAATCAACTGAACAGCTGGCAGTAAGTGTCAGCCTTCCTAGACAATTACTCTGCAGAAGGCTAACTTTAAAAGGACAATCAGTCATATCAGAACACAGCTGAAACCATATTTTATATGACAGAATATTACAATGGATCTAATTTGTGGATTCAATAACTCCTGATGACTACTAATATGACCACAGCTGATGCTAACTCAAGTGAGAAAAGGAGAGAAGCGCCTCTAAGTGCAATAAGTCTTTTTATTCAAGTCTAAATGTAGAAACACTCACATGTGTGAAGTAATCTAAGCTTAAAAACCGTGGTTAACAATAGTTAACGGTGGGATCTGACGTCATCACGGTCACGCCGCCGCTACGTTCCAGCGTGCGTTCCATCCGGCTCTGAGGGAGGACGTGCACGCCAGCCGGCCTCACCGCTGTTCCCCTCCAGCCACCACGCTGTTCCAGCCGAGAGCTGACCTCCCTACATCGCAGTAAGATGACGGCTCTTCACCCGGGTTACCACCCCACCGTTAACTATTGTTAACCACGGTTTTTAAGCTTATGATTACTTCACACACATGAGTGTTTCTACATTTAGACTTGAATAAAAAGACTTATTGCACTTAGAGGCGCTTCTCTCCTTTTCTCATCTACAGAGGTTGCTACAGCTTATTTGGAAGCCTTGCCCTCAGTGCCACACGGAATCCTACGCTCTTCATACAGTAGCCACTAATACCACGATCACCCATACTACTATTTCCCAGGACTTTGCAGTGTTTGTGCTGTTACAACCCCTCCTCATTTTTTCTGATGCTCACTCAAGTACCTTCCCTTCGTAGGCACCCTCAAACTGGTGACACATCACTGCCAAAAATGCTACAAAATGTAAGTGAGCACTGCTGTTTTCATTCATCAGGTGAGCAAGGAACAGATGCAAGCAAATGAGGTTTGACATTGAACTGTTGGTGTGAATATTTTCTGATAGATGCAAATAAGGTGCAGAATAGGGCTTACCTTTCCGGTCTGTCTCTGTGCATGAACAAGCAAGATATCTCCAGAACCACCCCTGACATCCGGCCCATCGTCACCCTGCATGTACAAAGGTCATCATTCACTTTTGACAAAGAATTCAAACTGGATCAGCCACTTCCACCGTCCACTATGAGCTGCTCACCTCTTGTTTCAGTGTGAGTTTTGCCATGATCTCATTGTGGTCTACAAGGGAAAGTTCATCCACTTCCTCACTCTCCTCTGCCTCTGGTGCTTCATGATTATGCCCACTAGGAGAATTGGGGAGCCTGTCAAATGAAGGTTATCAGCATGCTGTAAACGATGATCAACAAGGCAAAAGAAACAAGGCTGTAACTCTGTGCAGAATCATGAGCTACACATAGCATCCCTGGGGCCATGTGACCAACATACTGTGACCTAAATACCCCTGCTGGTTCCTTTTATTAAATCAATCAACCAGTCACTACTGTATGGCTTTGATCCTCATTTAAAAAAGCCATAGTGAGAGAAATAAAGGCTGCCTCTATGAAAACACTGCCTGGCTGTCATGCTAATTCACTGGCTTCTGTGTTTTCTGAGCCACTGGCCTGGAGCAAGCATTCATACCAAGTACCGACTGGCAGCACCAGGGTCATCGGTTCAAATCCCAACTATTACACTACCTGCCTGGAGTTTGCATGTTCTCCCTGTACCTGCGTGGGCTTCCTCCAGGTACTCCGGTTTCCTTCCACACTCCAAAGACATGCTGGTAGGTTAATTGGCTCCTGTCTAAATTGGCCCTAGTATATGTATGTATGAATGTAAGTTAGGGACCTTAGATTGTATGCCCCTTGAGGGTTAGGGACTGATGTGAATGTACATTATATATTTAAAGAGCTGTGTAAATTGACGGCGCTACATAAGTACCTGTAATAAATAAATCTCACCATTAAAGTCGTGGTCAAGTCACTTATAATAGAGCTTACCTGTAGGTAAAATAAATATCTCCTAAACGTGCAGTGTTTAGGAAATATTCGATGTTCTCTTTTACAGCCAGCGCATACACTCTGAAGGAACAACATACCCGTGTCGTTCCTTCAGAGTCCTGTGCCGTGTGCCAAGGTTCGCATGCGTGGGAGTGACATCATCGCGACTCAGCCAGCCAGATGGCTGGAGCTCACGAACCTGGAAGGAAGACCAGGTGAGGATGGAAGTCTTTACATTGGAGACAGTGTGCTGCTGGAGGGCTTCATTTTAAGGTAAGATTACATAATGTTCTAGTATACAATGCATACTAGAACATTATGCCTTTACCTTCCAGGGGATTTTTTTTTTGGATGTGGTTTACTACCATTTTAACGTCACAGGCCACATGCTTGTTCCAGGGCAGCAATTCAAAGTCCTAAAGCCAATATATCAGCATGGCAGCCAGGCAAAGAACATTTCCAGCAGCAGGCAGTATTAGAAGCCTCCATATTACTGTCAATAAAGGTACTTTAAAAGGAGTCCTAAATACCTTTTTAAAACGTAACTAAACCCATCAACATAACTGTTTCCCAAAGATATTACATTCAAGGCATACCATGAATGATATCTGTCACAGTTGTTTGTGTTCTCAACTGAACTGCCATCATGTGGCTGGTGTCTTAACTGATCACATGGGCAACTGTAGATCAAACAGAGGCTAAGACGGCAGCTTCCTTGGCTGTAAAGGATAAGAGGGTTTAGGTCGGCTTTAAGTAACCATCACTTGCAGTGAAGCAAACTAGGTTTAGCACCAATCTGTAACTTTGGAGGCGCAGAATAGTTTCTGCTCGAGGATTCTCACACAGGTATCATGTGGTGTAACATTTTCTTTAACCACTTGCCCTCCTGAGGATTTACCCCCCTTCCTGACCAGGCCAATTTTTGCATTATGGCGCTGCATTACTTTAACTGACAATTACGCGATTATGCAATGCTGCACCCAAATGAAATTTACGTCCTTTTTTTCCCACGAATTGAGCTTTCTTTTGGTGATATTTGATCGCTTGTGCGGATTTTATTTTTAGCGCTATAAAAAAAAAGACCGACAATTTTGAAGAAAATAAACAATACTATAGCTTTTTGCTATTAAACATGTTCAATAAAAATTAAAAAAAATCAAATTTCATCATAAATTTAGGCCAAAATTTATTCTGAGACATGTCTTTGCTAAAACAAAAATCCCAATACGTGTAAATTAATTGGTTTACGTGAAAGTTATAGTGTTTACAAATGGTGGTATAGATACTGGAATTTTTTATTTTTACTAGTAATGGCGGCGATCTACGACTTATAGCGGGACTGAGGCAGGCATTCTGACACTGGGGGGAATTGACATCCCTAGTGACACCAATACAGCAATCATTGCTCAAAAAAAAAAAAAAAAAAAAAAAAAAAAACCAAAAGCACTGACACTGTACTAAGGGCACTGGACAGGAAGGGGTTAACATGAGGGGCGATCAAAGGTTAACTGTGTGCTGTTTTACTTGGGTCTGTGCTTCACTGTAATCGCACTGCTTTGCATGGTTGTGCACAGCCATCCAAAGCAGTGTACACGAGCTGACAGGGAGGAGAACTGCAATGTTTACATACAGTTCTCCTCCCTGTCGGCAATGCTAGGCAATCACTGGGCGCCATAGGGTAACCATCGACCGAAACCTGGTAATTGACAGCTGCGAAAGGAAGCACGGGTAGGGCGCACACGCGTGCGCCCCCCTACACAAAAATACAAAATCTCACACACATACACACTATATATATATATATATATATATATATATATATATATATATATATATATATATATATATACACACACACACACACATACATACACACACGTGATTTTGCGCACCGTGCTGCCCTGTAGCAGTATATCTGCTATAGGGCGGTCGGGAAGCGGTTAAAGAAGTCTGCTGGTGTCAACATGAATGTTGCTCTTATCGGTGCAGTCCTTCTGAACAGTTCACAATCTGCAATATCAGCTACAAATCAACCCCTCTTTTCTATAGATGTAGAGATTTTAAAAGAATGCAGAAAATACACACATTTTCTGCTGCAAATTACACTACAGTACATTGGTAGCACTAAAGACATCACGTTTGCTACCTTTAAAAGTCTGAAAGAAAAAAAGAAAATGTTTCCCTACTGCAATCAAAGATAAATCCTGCCTTGAAGAATAACCGCTGGAAGGATGTTGGAAGGAATATAACGGACTCTTATGTGGCAACACGAGCCCCATTGGCGTACAGACCCATGTACCTGCCAAGTGCACTGTTTGAGGGTAACAACCAAACTGACCATCACAGCACAGGTCACAGAATGTGAAATCTAACTGCTATGGTCACAGCTTTCATTCTTTGCTCAGCTTTCCAATACAATAGCCAGCACTGCTACCTATATGCAGTATAAATTGAGACAATGCTAAGACAGTAAATTTTGTATTACACCTCCCTCTATAGCAGTCGGCTCAGCCCACTTCTATTACAGAGCAGGCACAACTGACAGCCTTTCGGCAGCTGTACAAGGGGTCATTAATGAGTCTATCATTAAAAGGAACACTGAGTGTGAAATAACTGTAATTAACTTGAGTCTTTTTATGCATGGCAATGAGAAGAGGAGGTAAATGCTTCCTAATAAGGAGCCAACACGGTCATGGTGGCAAGTGGAATGACTGCGAGCCACAAATAACACAAGTACGTGACATGGAAATGCAATCATTTAACATGCTGTTATTTGCCTGGATGATGAGAGAATGAAGGTGAGCGAGGAGGAGAAGATAGGGAGAGATGCACAGACGACAGGCTAGACAGTACAAGAATGAACTGAATGATCACAGGGCAGTAAGCACACAACAATGTACAGGAGGAGAAGACACACGAGGGAGGAGGACTGGTAGGAAACACAAGCTGTGTCTATAAATGACAGGGTCTCAAAACATTATAATTAGAGGCCCTGCTGGCTCCTTTATGGAAAAACCAAAAATTATTTTCAAACATGATTTTCACAGATGTCCAATCAGCAAGTTAGTTCTTGTGTGATACTAGGGATAAACATGACAGATGTACCTACTACGTCACCAGGCACAGTAAGTTGCAGCCAGAAAACATCCTTAATAATTCGTCACTGTCTCCATCACAAATCACAATTTTGCTGCAGATCAGTGTGAAAGTTGCCTTAAGGGTCCACGACCAGGCAATGCTGTCTGGCAGCGGCGCAAAGATGAAATGACTGGCTCAGCACATAGTTTCTTGATAGATACATATGCATTTGAACTGTATGTTTGGCTGTTCATCTGGAGTTGAGCTTTGAAAATAAATGGGAATGATGACTATGGAGCAAATGTGTCAGGCATAAAATTAACAAAGAGTGAAGATGGACGTGCATTTTTTGTTTGATGTGGGAAACAGGACTGGAAACAAAGAAGAGGAAGGACAGAAATAGAAAAGTACCTGTCCGTGGTTTCGTGGTTCTCGCTGCCAGGAGTGCAGGGCTGTGAAGGGGAAGCTCTCTGATGTCCGTCATCGATTAAAGGAGATTCCTGCAGAGGACCAAAGCAATCACTTTCACTGTAAGCCATACACAGTATATTATGGCATTGTAAGCTAGATCATGGGGCACTTTCCGTTCTCTACATGACACACTTAGCATTCACTGATGTTATCACACTCACCAATACACAGGCACCCCCTCACCACACTGCACTCTTCTACACCCATACAGAATGACACTAGTGTTATGTCTCTATTACGATGGAACTCCATAGAATGTACACCCTAACACTTCCCTACCACCCTCAACTGAAAAAAACCCCCCAGAAACTACAAACACAAAATGAAAGGTACCTTTGCCCTATGCAATGCAACTTTCACAGGGCACAAAGCAAACAGATTTCCAGGGTAATATGTACCTTATACCCAATGGGGAAGCCATTTTAATACAGGGGTGCAAGGTGACATCGCTGAGGCCTTAAGCTGAATGGTAACTAGTAACATCACTAACAGGCAGGAATACATAGCCTAAAGTGGTTGAAAACCTCAGAGATGAAATATGAACAAAGCACATCCCTCTATAGTGTTGAAATCAGCTAGAGTCACTTCTGATGAGTTTTCCTGACACCAAGAGAAAAAAGGTGACAGGGGAGGGCGCAGCTTGTGATTGACAGTCTCAGTTCTGTTTCCGTGTGAAGGGGGTACTCTGAATGGATGTAGGGGATAGACGACTGTAAAAAAAAAAAACAGGCATGACCTATGTAGAATTTGTTTAATCTCTGTGTATCACTTTCAATCAGTCACTTCACTGGTTATATGTATGGGTTTACAACCACTTAAACAGGGGCAAGCAACTGAACTTTGGAAATGAACTCAGGCCTCCTCCAAACTAATCTCCTAAACCCACACTCCTATATTCTGTACACCCCAGGACACCCCAGCTCATCTCTACTGTCCATCATGTGTATTGTTTGTGCTGTATAAAGGGTATTTAGTAAGCAACAACTTTCTGCCGTAATGGAAACTTTTGGATTGTTGATTTAACCCAGCTCTTCATAAGCCTTCAATGTTTTGCTTTTTTTTTTTTTTTTTTTTTTTTTTTTTTTTTTTTTTTTTAATTCCTAAACGTAGAATGGAAACTACAGCACCGGACGGCATTTTTTTTAAATTAATTGAACACAAAAAGGTTAGCAGTGTGTCCATTTATTTCAACGTTTACAGGTTTCATACAGCCAGCGTCTGTCTTTTACAGTACAGCCAGGGGCTTTGATCATTTAGTTTTTGATCTGTCTTTTCAGGTTTTGTGCGATTAGGACAGAAGGAACACTGAATGAAGCATCATTTAAAAGAAGGATTATTTGTGTACATACCACCTTATGGGTGGTCATGGACATAGGAGGATGGTCAGTCATGTAGGGATAATATGACTAGCCGCTTCTTATTGTGGACCCTGCTTCTGACAGAGACGTATACAACCAATGCACATCTTCGACAGCAAGGCGTGGGCAGAGGCTCTAACACAGCACTGATGCCAACTTATCTTGGTAGAAAGACAAATATGCAAACAAAAGTCCCCCAACCTCAAAAAAACAGCAGGTGGTTGTCTTCTACTGCCATAGACATTAGACTATCATGAGGTGAGGAAGTCAGGCTCTTATGGTTATGGATGTACCCTGTTAATCGTGGTGACCACTGACATGTCAAAGGAAGATGAAATCCAAAAATTTACAGTTGTCACTGAAACAAGAGATTGTGGGAAATACTCCAATGGAGAAACCTGTTCTAGTGACAACTGTCTGAGATGGGATTTGCCCTCACGTAAGAAATGTTCTGTATGGCCGAACCCTGGGCTGGTCACTGCCATTCAATGCAGAAAAGATTTGACTACCTTCTACACACAACATCAGTACACAGGCTGTCAGTGATATGTGGCTTCACCCACATGGCAAAATAGCTGCTTGCACCATGGGAAGTAAAAGGTACACGTGACCAATCAGAAATGATTTTACAGTGATCTTCCAAATGAGGTGCTCTAAAAACCATTATATGTTAATATCACCTCCTATTAGAGGTGATAAAAAAAAAAGAAGCGCTCATGCCCAGTTGTTGGCAGGGCGCACATTCTGAAACGCGTTGCATACTGGTCTCAGTGACGCCATCCCCCCCGATGCCACTCTCCACGCTGCATTCTCCTGACAACCAGGAAGAAAGTAGCCGACATCCATTCTATTCCCTGGGAGAAAAACTGGCGTGAGCTCCAGCTGCCGTATTTGGCAAACTTGCATTTTGGCAATCCGGACATATTGATGAGCCTGTTTTTAAGCTACAAAATGTGAGTGACCCTACTTTGGGTATAATAAATCATTGTTCTTACTACACTTAGAGGTGCTTTTCTTTTGTCTTTTCCTGTGTGCCATAGAGTTTGCTTCTACTCCTGGATCAGCATGCCCTAGTGATGGAGCATACGGACTCTTATACAATTTTATGAACTTATATATATAAAGGGGGACACTTTAACCCTTGCGTCTACCGCTCTCTTTTCTGTACTTTCTATTAAAGGGATACCACCCAGTGCAGCCCAAAGCATTCAGGGCTCCCATTACAAGCTCTGCAACCTATTATCCTATTCTTTTAGACTATTCAGTGACAAATAAATTAGCCTTGAATTCACATTATCCCTCAAACATTAATTCACTATTCTATTCATACTGTGTTCATACTGTGTTCTATTACCAGAATTAAATTGTTACTAAATCCACAACAGTAAAATCAATCTGTATATGCAGTAAAGCATGCTTGATATACTCACTGTGGAGCCTAAGGGGTTAATCCTCTGCATTGTGTAAATATGTCGTTTGATCCTGACTTCTCCAATCCTCCCCTTCTTCCAGTCCCCCCCCCCCCCCAATCTCCTGATAAGACATATGTGGGGAGACACTCTACACATGCTCAGTTTGGAGTGTATGGCTAAAGAATCTTTAATTTTCTTGGTAGAGTGCATGTGATCAGCACAGGGCAAATCAGCACTGTCCAGACAGAGGTCGGGGGTTCTGCATCCTCCTAGAGCAAAATGAAAACTTCTCCTACACACTTTAACCAGTGCTCTGCTGGACACTAATAGGAGTCAAAAGAATGCTATATACTGCTGATGAGAAAAGGTATTTATCAGTTTATATTTACTAAAATAATTGCATTTCCATGTTCTGTGTACTGTGGGAGAGACCAGAGATAGAGAGAATGCAGGGTCCTGGGTTTAGTAACTTTAAGACACAACTACACAGGAAGCACAGACTGAACACCTGACTATTAGTTAACATGAAGTGCATTACAAAGACCAAAAAGGGTATGAGTATTCATTTGGATACTTAACAAGGTGGTATAATTGCATTTAAACAATTTAACTTAATTTATATATATTTTTTTTTTCGTTTTGTAAGTTTCCATAAAATCTTTATTAAACAAACGCATTTTTGTAAACCACCCTTTTTTTATATTAAAAGCCAGTGCTTGCCTGCACACTTGTTGGCATCCCTCCCCCAATTTATTCAGTAGTCTGGTGTTGCCTGCTCTTCAATTCTATTTTAACCCATTAGTTATTAAAGCGCTTCTCCAGCCATAGAGCAGAGAATGGTTAGGACCTCAGTCAAGACATTTTTGCTGTCCGTAGCCTGTTCAAAAGATTTCTTCTCACTGCCTGCCCCAGTAAAGTTGTCATCAGGATAGAAATGAGAGGGACCCTTCTTAGAATGGACACAGAAGCAATAAAAAACACTTTATCCTCTTTGGAGATTCCCCCTCAGCACCCTCCCCAGTGACAACTTTGTAGCCTGGACAGGAAGCAAAACGGTTTTTCCTCAAAAGGACACAAAGAAAAAAAAAATTGACAGGGATTTTCTCTCGCCTCCAAAAATAAACAATCCTTTTAGCTGCACAATACTGTGCTGTTGTCCAAAGCTTACTCCAATCTGGGTTTAAAGTGATACTAAAGCTAATTATTTGTATTATTAAAATAAAAAAGAGGTTATACTTACCTGCTCTGTGCAATAGTATTGTACAGAGGAGTCCCTTACATCCTCTTCTGGAGTCCTCCGTTGGTGGTGTCTGCTCCTTCTTCCTGCGGGTGCCCCCATAGCAAGCCATGTCCTATGGGGCACCCATGCAGGCTGCAAACAACCAGGCCTGGCCTCCCCCCCTCACCCCAAATCCCTCCTTCCAGCCTGGCTGGCAGCAGCAGGAGCCAAGAAAGAAAAGGGGGAAGAGCTGCAACTGGGACAATATTGGACTGCTGACGGGACTCAGGTAAGTGTTTGGGGGGTGGGGTTAGGGATAAATAGTAGGGAGTTTTTTTACCTTAATGCAGGGAATAATGCATTAAAGTAAAAAGCTGTTAAATTTTACAACCACTTTAAGTAGTAAATATATAATAGTCATACACAATTTTCATTTCAATTTACTCAATTTTATTTTTCTTCTCTCTGCCTGTCCGTGGTAATATGCACTACACCCTGGCAGAAATTGGGAAATTTTGGCATTGATATTGAAAATATGACTGATCATGCCAAAAAATGCTCTTTTTTTGAAGGGTGATGGTCATATGAAGCCATTTATTATCAAATCGTTTGGCTCCTTTTTAAATCATAATGATAACAGAAATCACCCAAATGTCCCGGATCAAAAGTTTACATCCCCTGGAATGTTTGGCCTTGGTACAGACACACAAGGTGACACACACACGGGTTAAAATGCCAGTTAGAGGTTAATGTCCCACATCTGTGGCTTTTTAAATTGCAATTAAGTGTTTGTGTATGAATAGTCAATGAGTTTGTTAGCTCTTATGTGGAAACACTGAATAGGCTAGATACTGAGCCATGGGGATCAGAAAAGAACTGTAAAAAGTCCTGCGTAACAAGGTAATGGAACTTTATAAAGATGGTAAAGGACATAAAAAGATGTCCAAAGCCTTGAATATGCCAATCAGTACTGTTAAGTCGCCTATAAAGAAGTGGAAAGTTCGGGGATCTCTTGATACTAAGCCAAGGTCAGGTAGACC